GAGAATTGTGATGATGATGTGGCTTGTGTATGCCACGGTGGAGTCAGCATTAGTCAAAGAAATCAACTTCAACATTAAACCAATATGGCAGCGTTTCAGCTATCAGACTTAAGTGCCTTATCTGCCACTCGAATTCCATTTTGTTTCAACAGAATGCACAGCTCACCTCACGCTCTCTCTAGTTCCTTCTCAGCCCTAGCGACAGAAGATTCTACAGCTTCTCTTCTCTAACAAACTGCTGATCATACTGGATAGCTGGAGGATGATCAATGGAGTCCTAATCTGTATAAAATCAGATCTATTGTGCTGAAGAAAGCACAGTTTTCAGAGGGATATTTTGGTTGTGTTCTTTCTTGTTTTTCCTGGTTGTATACTCCCTGTAATCTTGGTTTCCTTGAGTAATAAAATACCCTATAGTGTGCCTTGAAGAGTGGATGTAGGCTACCTTAGCTGAACCACTATAAATCCCCTGTGTCAATTTCATTTTCTGTTATTTCATACTTTTCTTAATCTCTTAATTGATTGCTTGCTGATTGATAAGATTGTGTTAGCTCATTGATTGATTTGATCAGTATAGCTGAAAGCCCTAATTAGTCACTACAGCATGCATGCCTATTAATTTCAAAAGCCAAATTGGAAACATTAAGCTTAATTTCCTTGTTATTAGCTGCAACCTCCGGGAGGGACCATAAGATAAGAGGCAACATCTTAGTGCAACAGACAAAAATATATTGTTTACTTTACTAATAGAGTTCGACTAGAAGTATGAGCTCACATAAAAGTAAGCCGATGGGGTTAATATCAGTGAACCTAAAGTTTTCAATCCACTGCACTTTTATTTCATACACATTTCCATAGTGTGAGTATTTACGGTATATCAGTGCCCAATAGGAAAGAGAACGAATCTAAATTGTCTCCTAAATTTTGAAACCACTTAGAAGAAAGAGTATTCATGATGTCATGTCACCTCAAGAATAATAATAATAATAATGCATTGTCCTATAATTAATGAAAGAAAAATCTTGGGTATTTTAATTATTATTATGAACGAATAATATTTGAATAAAATCTACTACTTTTCGTTTGATACACACACTAGACTAGAGTATCTGAATTAAATTGGTTCCAGCAAATAGAGAGAGAACAATATATTCCAAAACTACGAAGTGTGCTCCTTAAGTTTGGAACAATATAATATAAGAGAGAGAGAGAGAGAGAGAGAGAGAGAGAGAGAGCATGCATGAGTGGCATTTCCACTTTAATTTGCAAAAAAATTCAGATAAATTGATGCACCACCCAAAATATTTTCCTTAGTGGCGGAGAGAATCATGATTAAATTAAATCTTTGGTAAGCATATGGTTTTTCCACTTCTTTATATCAAGGATAAATGCGAAACACATGGAAAGAGAAATTAACTTGATAAACGGAAGACCAAGTTGGTCTCTTTCCCTTCATACCATAAAAATTTTAGATCTTATCTAATGACTCTATGAACATATGTGATTTCATATGATCACTTTAAAAAAAAAAAAAAAAAAAAAAAATTCACCTTTAATTGTTCATTCACTTAATACGTGAACCTTTGATATTACTCAAAAGTCTACGGATACCCTGTTTATTGTAAGGCTTTCTAATTGATGAAAGTGAACAACATCTATGACGATATAATACAAACATTGACAAATTGATGAGTTAGTGATGCTAAAGATTAGGCACTAAGACATTAATTGCGGAATATTATTGACAGGATTGTATTTTGAATTTAAAGGCCTATTATATTCTTGGCTCAGCTTATAATTTTTTAATTTAGTGTTTGGATAAATTTATTTCCCACCATTATTTAACAACCACTACAAGAAAAAGTTGATGAGACGATAGCGAAGGAGAGCATGGAAACCCTAACTAATAATTTTAGTAGTGGAACCAAAAGTTTCAAGTTAGGGGATCAGATATTTTCTCTTCATACATGTTTTATCATACTTCGTAACGAGCACGCAAAATTTGTCCAACCTGAAGAAAGAAAGATAATGAATATATCCAAATTAATAAGCTAGAATAGCCCTATAATGTCATCTCACCTCAGGATATGGAATTATGATCATGACCTGTGTCACTGATCGATCTTTTTATTAAGTATTTTTATTTTTTATTCTATAAGAATAATGGTGAGAATATTGTCAAATTCATGATGGGGGTGGAGAAATAAAAATTCTGGGAAAATGACGGCTACTGATCAAATTTCAATCACTTTTGCGAGGTGGCGAAACCCATCATATGTTTTCACAAGGCGTGAAGTTTATTTGGCCTTGACTTCATATTTGTCCCTCCTAATCCCTGATTTCATTTCTTTTAGTTTTAGGTCCTCCCAATTGCTGTTTATGATAATTGTTGGCTGAAATTTCAGTTTTATTTAATTTGTTACACACACAAAATGCCCCAGGAAACGATAATTGTCGGCTTTGAGTTCTGTTACGGACACAAACTGTATCAAGAAATGAGTGCGAAAGTGTTGAATTAAAATAAACTGGAAAGTTACTGCGCAAAAATAGAATAAAAAGAGGAACAAAAGTAAGGACTTTGCAGAATTTTAATTCACTTTGTTTACTGAAACTTTTTTTCTTGAATTTGTTTCACTTCGACTTTCTCACCTCTTTTACAAGATAAAGATAACAAATAACTTATATACTTCTTCAAACAAACTAATGATAATCAATAAGTGGTTTAACACATACAACACAAAATTCTAACATAATTATAGTTACAATAATTCTCTGGTCAGAATTGTTCCAATATAATTATATTAAGATTATATACATTTACTGTTAAATCTTTATATGTAAAATATTATTTCAATCCAATAAGTGGATCTGACGATATTCAAGTTTGATCTTAATTATATCAGGATAGTCCTAACTAAAGAATTTTCGATTACAATTACTTATTTACTGACAAGCTATTCGCAAGTGTACGAAATCGTGCAAGTAGTAAAACTCGAATAAACGAGTGTCGAGTCCCAAGGGAACTACCTACCAAGTACCAAACTATTATATTCTATTGCTATTTGATTAAACTAAAGTTTAAGAATGAATTTAATGAAAAAGTAAATAAACTAAAAGCTAAGTACTAAGTAAAGGCAGAATTTATAAACACTTTGAAGTAATGACCAATATGACTAAACCTAGGGCATAGATTTAACACCAATTTAATTCCATGCATTGACAATTATTACTAACCTAATTAAGTTTATTCTAAAGGCCAAATCCCCTAGTCTTCCACTAACTCTCTCTCGAGCAATTAGCAAATTAACCCTTAAACAACAACCTAAGATATCTCTAAGTCGGATTTAGGAGCTAAGTGATCATTAAGCTCTATGGAATTTACCGGAGCCTCACAGATCGCGGTAACCTATCTCTAGCGTTCGCTCAATCTATGGTTTTATTACCTAAGAGAAATCAGGTTTCATCTCCTAATCCATGATATCATTCAACTCTCGGGCCCTGAAAATTGAAAGCATTACACACGATAATAAAACTTAGAAATCATGCTCAATATAGAATCAAAATAATAATGTCAACACATGTTCATAAATTGGGCTGCATCTTTAGCCCTAGAAAAGAAAGTTAGTTCATAATGAAAATAACAAAATCCATCATTCTAATCAATGACATCAATTCAAGAAAAAGATAAACTTCTCTAATCGGTGAACGAGAGCTTTCAGGATCCCGATCTCCAACTTGGTAGCCGTCCTCTTCTCCTTCCAAAAGTCCCCCTTTAATTTCTTAAAAACGCTCTTTTATATCCCTGGGGTTCTTGGTCGTGCTTAGGAACAAGATTAGAAACTTAACCCATTCAGATTCGGATTAAGGTAGTGAATTAACACAAACCCGTGACCCATCGCCGCGGCGGTAAGAATGGTCGCCGCGGTGGTCATTCTTTATGTCCAAAGCATCCGTAATCTTCAGAATTTGAATAAGTCATCAAAACAAATATTGTAGCTCTCTGAATAAGCTTTCCAACGCCACTAGAATCGTCGAATTCAGATTTCTACAGCTCAAGTTATGACAAAAACATCGAGATATACTCATGATGAAAGATTTCCAGATTTTCCGTAACATCTTCAAAGTGCCGCAACTTCTTCATTTCAACCCTGATTCTTGTGCCGTTTGTTCCTATGCGTTGTACATCCTATCAACATCGTTCTTTTCCATTCAAAAACCTGTTTGAGTCTGAAAACACTCAAAATGCATCCGTGATCCCATAAATGATATTTATGAAAGAAATAATCCAAATTCCACACTTTAAGCACATTTTTCCATAAACAAACCAATTAAATCACTAACAAAATATGAACATTCAAGCTCTTATCATTTACTTAAGTAAAAAATAAACTGCAGTCATAGCACATTAACGTTGACAACAATGCCGGACCCAATTAGTCTTTAAAGTATTGGAAAAAGAAATTGATTGGAAGAGATAAAAGACAAGTTTTAAAATAGATTCTAATAACTGATTTAATCTATATTTTGATACTAATGAAATTGAAGTATGATCTTAATTATATCACGACGGTCCTAACTAAAAAATTTTCGATTACAGTTACTTGTTTACTTAAGTCAAAAATAAACTACAGTCATAAACTTGTTTACTCAGTCTTTAAAGTACTGGAAAAAGAAATTGACTGGAAGAGATGAAAGACAAGTTTTTGTATGGCGTTAGTGAAAACTTTTTAGATATACGCATATACAACATTAGAATATTGGTAGGTAATCATGTATGTACAAGGAATTGGAACATCGATCCCATTTATGTACATATATTCTACAGTACACGTGCATGAACATACATTGGCATGAATGTATTTGAATTATCAGCTTAAAATTATAACAAGGTCACGTTTGTGAAAACATATTTTGTAATTAGTAAAACTTGAAAATACAAGCATATAATTAGGAATACATTAAATATTTCCAACATAAAGCACAATAATTCTGTTTGTTTCCAAGTGCTAAATTTCGGAGGATTCTTTTCCTTGTTGGTTGAGCTCAGCTGCAACCACCGGGACCAAACCCAAGTCTCCCTCCAGCAACATCATGGTGCACCTCTATTGCCCTCAACTGATTGTTCCCCAAGATAATATAAGGGTCATCAGTATTCGGCTGAAAAGCTAAACACACCTGACTTAAATCATTTTTAAATACGATCATAATTCCCTTCACATCCAGATCCAATTCAACCTCGCCTTTGAAGAAGATAGAAATCTTTGGTATTACAACTGTATCGTAACTGCTAAAATCATAACAAGTATCAATATCTTCACTCTTCACTGGTTTTATCATCTTATATTTTGACATTTGCTTACGGAAAGCTGATCTCAGAGCCACGTAAATGGATGTTGGAAGGGTCGTGAAGGTTGAACCCGAATCAATAAATGCACCTGATTTAGAATACTCTGAACTCGCTACGGGTAGTTTTTTTCCGGCGACAGTAATTCCGGTCACAATAATATCGTAAAACGGCGATTGTTTGGATGTAGTGGATAATGGAGTGAATTTGATGAACTTGTTTTTGATATAGTCATCCGTTTTGCCGAAGGTTATATATCCAGTTGAGCCATAAGATGAAGGAAAACAATAAGAGAAGTATTCTTGGGAAGTTTGAGATATAAAAGATGACGGATTTCGATTAAGACCCATTAATCCAGTAACCCCATCAATCTCGTCTGCAGAATTGTTAGTGCCACATCCGAAAATGTAAGGGTATTTGACAAATGTGCCAGAGCCATGTGTAATGGTTAGCCTATCTGTCAATACATTACCACTGGAATTACCGCTAACGTATTCAATTCTGTAGATGCACTTATTGGAAATGCACCTTCCTTTGAAATCTGCATGTAAAGCAATCAGCAATTATCTTTCCAAAAGGACAGGTGCACGAGAGCATCTATCTTTAAATTCATGAAAAAGATACATTAGAAATTTAAAAAAAAAAAAAAAATTAAATCGTAAATTTGTATTGATTAATTATTCTTGTAGATTTGTAATTGTACCTGATAAACAGGCCGACGATTCGCATGGAACGACAGAATACGTAGAGGATTTGGATGGATCAAATAACGGGGTGTTTTGTTCAAAGCATTTAAGGCATGGCTTGCACTGCGTCCAAGTGAGATCGCTGCCAGTGTCCAAAAGGAGAGTAACATCTTGTCTCGGTGTTCCCAGGGATACGGTGATATAGAACTCGAACGTTGCCTCATATAATAGAATAGGCTTGGTACTGACTGTAATGGCCGGTGCTTCTTTTAAATGGTCATCATCACTACTCAAATTTTTTGGCTTGAAGATTCTGGATTGAATGTAAATGGCTCGAGCTCGGTCTTTGCGCAAAATTTCCAAGTAATTTGGAGTAATTATTTTGCCTTGATTTAGTGTAGAGCATGGACCATACTTGCTTAAAACCTCTAGAGATTCTTTGTTTTGACCTGAAACAACGAAGACATAATATTCTCTCAGGCGCTTGATAATATTTGTATGCTCTACCGTAATAGAAATAATAAACGACAACAAATTAATAGCCTTTTTCGATTAATTATGAAGAGGGGAAAAAGAGGGTGTCAATTAATATTGATACAACCTTTGATGGAAGTATGGTTGCAAACAGTTGGGGGTAATAGAGAACTGACTTTAACAATGTGGCTATGAGAAAGTTGGCCTTCTGCTTCTTTATCTTGTTCAGCATAACTGTCCTTTACAGAACAGAGAAGGCACAAAAAAAGAAACGGTACTTGGAGGAGAAACCTCAGGTAGAAGAAGGAAATGCAAGTGGCCATGGGAAGAACCTCAACTACTCTCGCAGTTCACTCGAACGTTCAAGCTCTACAATCTTGGCTAGCTTTATATAAGCTGCAGCTGGAGCCTTGAGCATAGAAGAGGATGTAACACTTGGGCGCATTAAGTGCACGGGTATCTGAAATCCATTGAGCCATTGAGGACAAGATAGGGATAGGCATTCAGAAGTGATTTTATTCTAGTTAAGCTTTATTTTCTTCTTCGGAAACTTGACGGCCACCAAACCATTTCAAAATCTATCGACTTCTCATTCTCATTGAACACGGCATAAACTGTTTGAATATTAAACTTGATTTGGGCCCATTAGTTAAACCCATATAGATTGTTACATTAATATTTTCTCTTAAGCTCAATGTAAAACTCATATTTGAGTTATGTATTTAGTCCAAAAAATAGGCCTTGTAACTAGAAAAATCTAGTAAAAATATCTCATTTATTAGGAAGTTGAATAGATAGTTATTAAATATGGAATATAGTAGATGATATTTATTAGGGTATGAGGTAGTTGGGAGTTGAGTGTCAAAAACTCCTTTGAGCACTAGAAAAGGAGTAACCCCTAGCCAATTTCTACAAGCCCAATTTTAAAAACAATAGTAATCCTCTATTCCAAAACACTTCTTTTCTGAATTCCTCTAATTAGCCTTGGACCTAAAAGCCTAAAAGCTCCTCTTTCAACAAAAAAACTTGATGGAATTAACTAATAATAATTGAACGAAGAACCATATATATCTATATATGAATATTAATGTTTCACATTAATAACGAAGTGTGCAGTAATTTGAGAAACAAACTATAAATTTGAACTTTCATAAGATTTCAACTTACTTTCTTTGTTTAATTTACTCATCCACTAATCGGTATGGGAGTGAATTTGACGAACTTGTTTTTGATATCGTTACTGGTTTTTCCAAAGGTTATATATCCAGTAAAGCCATAAGATGAAGGATAACAGAAAGACAAGTATTTTAAAGAAGTTTGTGATATAAAAGATAACTGGTCTCGGTCGAGACACATTAACCCAGTTACTCCATCAATGTCAGCAGAATTGTTATTGCCACATCCGAAAAATGTTAAGGGTATTTAACGAATGTCCCTGAGCCATGCATTATGGTTAGCTTCTGTTGATAAAACATCATTGGAAACATCATTGGAACTACGGCCACCGTATTTAGCATGGCCAGTGCACTTATTGGAGAAATGCATAAATTCAAGAAGAAATTACAACCAAATAAACCATTAAATTGTAAAATTGCATTGATTAGGGTTTTTTTTTTTTTTTTTTTTTTTTTTTGTTTTTTTTTTTTTTGGGTACTCCGTAAGTTGTAGAATTTAATGTGGGTCTGACTCATCACCCAATAAGGTCTTGTTAAATTGGAGGATTATCCCCTCTTATAAACTAGTAAGCTTGAGCATATCTAGTCGACGTGGGATTTGAGACTCCAATAGTAACAGCATGTAACGACAGAATACGTTGACAAGGACTAGGACGGATCAAATAACGAGCTGTTTTGTTCAAAGCAATTTAGACATGGCTTGCAGTGCGTCCAAGTGATGGGGCTACCTGTGTCCAAAAGGAGAATAACATCTTGATTTGGCGTCCCCAGGTATAGTTATATAGAACTGGTTGGAAATCCCTTCAAATTAAATTGGCTGAGTATCGATTGTGATGGCCTGTGTTTGCCTTATATGGTCAACATTAGTACCTGGGTTTTTTGGCTTAAAGATTCTGGATTGAATGTACTCGACTTGGGTTCTGTATATGCGCAGTATTTCCAAGTGATTTTGAGTTTTTACTTTGCCTTGATTTAGAGTAGAGCATTAATAGGGATGGGCAAGGGCCGGGGCGGTTCAAGGTTGGGGACCCCTCTCTCTGGCCCCGACCCAAAAGCCCAAAGGGATTCCTTAGTCCCGGCCTGTAGCCCGAACGGAGAATTCAAGGAATCCCCAAATCAGGCCTGATCCACAAACGAGGAATTCGGGGAATCCTCGTTTGGGGGTTTTCCATTACAATTTTTTTATAATTTTTAATTATTAAAAAAATTATAATGATTTATTATAATGAATCAAAATATCAAAATTATAATTATGATATATTATACATATATGTAAATATATTATATATTAATGATATAATATTATGTATTATTGTGTTAAGTATCAAGTATTAACATATGAATATATGATCTTATGATTATGATAATAACATATTATGTATAATATATAATTTTTGTTTTATAGCATATTAATATAATGTATAATATATAATATATTATAATAAATTCTAAATAAATTATACCATATACTATAATGTCTCATTAATATTCTAAAATACGTAACATTATACATAATATATTACATATGATACATTATATATATATAATAAATAAACAGCTACCATAATATAACAAGGGCAATTAGGTAATGGAATTGAAATAATGAATCAACGAGGAACAAACAAAAATTTATAATGATTTATTGATTTATTAATCAATCAAAATATCAAATAATACATTATACATAAATAACATATATATTATGCATATCAAACCATGCATTATACATATACAATATATTTATAATGATTTATTATATTTAATCTAGTTTTATTTATTACCTATTTGTATATGGTTTCATAAAATACTCACACAATTATAATTTTTTATTGTATAATTTATTGTTTAAGTGATTGATTTTTTAACTATTAAAATTAATATAGGATTAAATAGTTAAAATTAAACCTCTCTCTCTCTCTCTCTCTCTCTCTCCTTTCTTCTATATATTATATTATATATATATATATTATTATAAGTGCGGGTCGAAAATTCCAGGAAGGGGGGGAGGGGGGCAAGAGTAATCCCATGCACGGCCCGTCCCCGAATTTGAGGATCGATTTTCGGCCCGGGCCGAAACCGCCCCATTCAAGGTGGGTAGGGACGGGTATTATGCCCATCCCTAAGCATTGACCATACTTGCTTAGAACCTCTAGAGAGATCTTTTTTTTGCACTGAAACAACGAAGGCATAATATTTATATGCTCTAGGCTCTACCATAATTTAAATGATAATTGCAAATAATTAATAGTTTTTTTAATTGATTATGAAGATCGCAAAATCATGTACTATTAATTTAACAATTTAGCTAGAGCGTTGTGTGGATTTTGAGAGAAATGTGCGAAAAAGAAATAGATCTGAGAAAGGAATTGAGAGACGCAAAAAGGGATTTTTCTTCTTAACTGAACAACTGAAACTGTTAGGGATAATGCTTCCCTTTTGTACAACTTTACTCTTTACAGAAAATGACAGTGCTTTGGCACATATTAAAAACTTTAGCACAAGCTTGAAGCGACATCGTTTATGCTTTATGACTAACATTCCCTCTCAAACAGAACCGTATGAACTAATCCTTCTTTCAATTACCCTATGACTAACATGCTCTCTCAAACAAGGCCATGTAGCTTATGCTAATTTCCTGCCAATTTTTTGCCAAAGGAAAAACTGCCTGTGTCAAATCCAAATGAAAGACTAAGTAGTGCATACTGTATAATTCTCAGAGCACCATTTCCAAAGTCAAACTAGCACACAACAATAACTTTTCCTGCTAAGTAATGCATACTGCATAATTTCCTGCATACTGCAGAACTTTCTGCAAATTCATACTGCCCAATTCACAGAGCACAATTTCCTGCAAATGAAAACTGCATAATTTCCTACATACTGCATAACTTCCTGCAAATGCATACTACACAATTCACAGAGCACAATTTCCTACAAATGCAAATTGCATAATTTCCTGCATAATGCATAACTTCTTGCAAATGCATACTGCACAATTCACATAACGCAATTTTCTGCACAATTTTCTACAGAATTTTCAGAGCTCAAGAACAGCCACAATCATTCAAGAACATAATCAACCTCCAAAAACCATCAGAACATAATCAACCTCCAGAAAACAATAAGAACAGCCACAATCATTCAAGAACATAATCAACCTCCAGAAACGATCAGAACATAATCAACCTCCAAAAAACAATAAGAACAGTCACAATCATTCAAGAACATAATCAATCTCCAGAAATCATCAGAATATAATCAACCTCCAGAAACCATCAGAACATAATCAACCTCCAGAAACCATCAGTTTGACAGAACACACTAGTCAACACCAACTATCAACTTGACAGAATACAACACATCTTCATCAGTTTGACAGAATATCACACATCTTCAGTAACTATCAATTGGACAGAATACAGCACATCTGCAGTAAGCTTCAGAACAAGAATTTCCCAGCAAACTTCTTTAGAACAAAAAAACAAATAATTCCAGAACACAACACAAAAACTTCAGAGCTTCAATAAGTCCAAAACACAAAGAAATTTTAGAACTTTAGTAAGTCCAGAACACAACACAGAAACTTCAGAGCTGCAGTAAGTCCAAAAAACAACACAGAAATCATTAGAACTGATGAGATGAAGAAGAAGTAACTAAGACATAATCTTGCTCATGAACATCATCAATTTGAACATTTAGTTTAGCCCTTAGAGTTGCAAACTGGACTGCAGGCAATGCTTTGGTGAGGAGATCTGCAATCTGCAGTTTAGTAAGGACATATTGAATAGCAATTTTCTTGGCTAACACCTGCTCTCTAATATAATGGGCATCTATTTCAATATGTTTGGTTCTAGCATGGAAAATAGGATTTGCAGCTAAAGCTCCTGCACTAAAATTGTCACACCAAATAATGGGTAAATGATGGATGGGTAATTCTTACTCAGAGAACATGCTATTAAGCTAGGCCACTTCTGTAGCAGTTTGAGCTAAAGCTCTATATTCTGCCTCAGTGGATGAGAGGGCTACCACCTTTTGCTTTCGGGAACTCCATTGGATGAGATTAGGTCCTAAATAAATGCAGTAACCACTGGTGGAACGTCTATCTTCCACACTACCAGCCAATCTGCATCAGCATAGCATTCCACAGATAATGAGCAGGCTAGTCTGAATTTTAACCCATAATTCAGTGTACCTTTGACA